TTTCAGTGACACTCTTGAGAGGAAGGTGATTTCTAAAACTAACTTCAATCATTTGGGGGATAATGGGCCTCTAAACAGATCTGCGAATTAAAAAAAAAAAAAAAAAAAAAAAAAAAAAAAAAAAAATATATATATATATATATATATATGTATGTATGTGTGTGTGTGTGTGTGTGTGTGTGTGTGTGTGTGTATATATATATATAAAATTGCCAAAAAATTTCAAAAGTGGAGAAATTAAAGACTTATGTAGACAATCTCCTAAGTTATTATGCTCATATACTTAGACCAAATTTTTTAAAAATCAGAATTTCTTATGAATTTACATTTGTGATTATACACATGTAAAAATTACCAGGTCTTTCCATATTTTAGGGCTGTTTCAGTGTTAACAATTCTTTAGAAAAAGTTTTGTTTACTTGATTACTGATGTACTACTTATTTTCGCTCATCTGATTTTTCAAGTAGGATTTTAAAACTTAATCAGTGTCAAAAGGCCACAATTGGGGGAATTTGAAAGCAGCAGATGGGGTTATGGGAATTTTGACCAGGGCCACTGGAGGAGTTTTATACTGCTAACAAAACTATTCTGTGCACAGACGAGGGTTACCTTTTTTGTAAATAAGCCTGTTTTAACCTAAAAAGGTGAGGTAATTAGTACCTCAAAAAAATATTTCTTGAACAAATGAACGACTTAGGCTTCCCTTATCACTTAAATGAGCAATATGGGTGTATGTGGGGGTCTTCAAAAAGTTCATGGAAAGATTCATATTATCTTTTAATTCTATTTTTCCACAAACTTTCTGGAGTACTCTCGTATTATTCATCCTCAAGAACAATTTATTTGCAATTGTTAAGAAGCTATCTAACAAGTAAAACATCTAGGTTACAGAACATTATGAAGACTATTGATCATCCTGAAAAACAAGTGCTAGATAAGAGTTAAATATGTGCAGAAAATAAACTTAGAATGAAGTCTTTAGAAGTACCTCTTTAGCCTTGGTCAGATTTTAATTTTTCCCTGAAAGTGCCACCTTGTGGAGTATACTGGAATAAAACAAGGAAGTCCATCTCTTAGGACAGTGTGTACTTTAAAAGACTTTTGCAAGAAAAACTACTTCCCTTTCCTACCATGTACACTTCAAATTGCTAACAATTTAAATAGATGCTTGAAAAAAGCCTGCAATTATATTCAGGTGGCTCTCATCTTGAAGGCCAGAGCACTAGTATCAAGGAAACATAAATACGTTGACGGAAGTCCATTCATTTATCGATACTAACTCACTGGGAATGCTTAGACATAAAAAAAAAAAATTGAAAAGCCAATTGGTATCTCCTTTTTAAAAAGCCTCAAAAAACCGATAAACAACCCCCAAAAAACTAATTGAGAAGAAACATTTAAAAATTGGACCCCTTCTGTTTCTACATTTCTGTTGTTTTCAGAGGTCTGAAGATAGAGAAGGCCAAAGAAATATTTTTGGTTTATTTTCTGAAAAAGCACAAATTAGAAATGCTTGAGATATAGGTATGAGTTGAAAATTGCATTGATATAAAAATGGAGCCAATAAGAAATGAAAATGCTATTTCCTCATGCTTTTGAGTAATACCATTTCTAATTATTCCAAAGACTTACACTGGTCAATAGGCTTTGGTAGCCTCAATATGTTTTTCCATTGTGGAGGAGAAACATGTAAATATCTTCCTAATTATATATCTGGATGTATTTAATGCACATGATAAATGGTTTGGGTAAGGTTCACGATTTTTCAAAAGTCCTGGTGGCATAGGAAACATATGCCTCTTTAAAATGTTTTATTTCTTTACAATGAACACTCTTAGGTATATATAACAAGTGTAGTTCATGTAGCTGCTTCTTTCCAAGAAATGAGGAAGGAATACCAATGATTTAGTTTGCTCAGCTCAACCTTTGAAATGGTAACTATGCTTGAAACAGTTCCTCCACAAAATTTGTTTTGAACATATCAAGTCCATAGTTGTCAGGTGACTTTAATATTAATTCTTACAGTGTATTTATTAATAAAAGTAAATCCTTCAAAATATATATAACTTTGAAACTACTCTTTGAATACCTTCATTTTCTCCAGAATTTCTTTTATCCATTGCCACTATTTTATGAGTAATTTTTAAAGATTCAGAAATCATAACAACTTTATTTTTATCTGTCACAATGTAAAACATGCATTCTTTTGAATTCTATCAATAGCTAAGAATTTTTATAATAATATGTCAACATTTTTCTTTCCAACGTAAATATTCTGTAGTTTCTGTACTAACACAATTAAGTAATTATGGTGGCATATTAGCTTTTAACGTTATTCTTTCCTAGACCCAACTATGAAACAAAAGCCTACTTTTGGAAAATGTGAGACACTCTCAAGTGCTTATCATAAAAATAGTCAAGCTGTCACTTAAAAGTAAAACAATTATTTGAACAGAAAAATTTTAATATGTTTATATTAGGAAGCTTACATGATTTAATTTCCATCATGGAATGAAAATTGCCATGACTGACATTAATAGGCACCACTTTTAAAAGAAGTAGCTACTGTTATTTAAAAAATTAATTTAAGTACATAATTTTAAGTTCAAAATGTTTGGTAATATTTAAGAATTTTCTCATCAAGATGGAGAGTACAACATTTTGGAGTCAAACTATATATTTCTTTATTAAAAGGAACATATTTTCTTCAAGACAATAATATCCTGTGCATTCTGAAATTTTCGTTTTTACTTAAAACTAAAATGCTGAGATTCTATTCTTAGGTGAATAATTTTGAACTATTTTTAGTAAGTCACCTGGAGATAAATGGAAAGTCTGTCATTCACAGTGTGTGCTTCCTGAGAGAAAATTGCAAGAAAACAGGGGGCTGAAATGGCCCCGAGCTTTCTTCCAAAACAGGTTCTTTGCACCTTGAGTTCCCATCCACTTCAAAGGCGGGACAAAGTGGGAGGCTCCAACCCATTGGGTTCTTACAAGCTCTAGGGAATTGTGTTTTTAAGGTTATGTCATTATTACTAGCTTTAGAAAACTAAATGGACAGGTTTCTCTTTTTCTCTTTTTATACGTAGTTATTACAACACCCTGCACAACGTTCCCACAGTGCCTGGGCTGCCAGAACCAAACATCAAACAGAAACTACCAGGCACATTCTTGCACTAGTCCTAATATAAAATTCAAATCTGTCACAATATTTTTTACTTGCTATAAGCTGCTTCAGTATAACCCTGGGGCCGTATGACCTTTCCAGTTAACCACTACCTAGCTTTTGGCAAAGATGTTTGAAGCCATATGTCACAGAAGAATAAGCCATATTCACAAGGATCTTATTCTACTATATGCTTCAAAGTGCTCTAATAGCAAAACTGCTTGTGTGGGATCTGGATTTCAGAAGTGGTGAGCTTGGATGTAAAAGACACAAATTGAGAGAGTATTCACTCAAGTGCAACAACCACACAGACGGAAGAGCTGGGGACAGACTCTTACAACATTCAGAGAGGCCTTTTCATTCTGTGTCATCAGAGGATAATTTGCCAAATATCTAATGCCAAATGTTTGTGCTTTAATTTTTCTTTACAAACACTACTTAGAAATGAGCCAAAAGCAGATGCTAGAAATAAAAGTTGAGCTCTCTACTTGTTTAAAATTCTAAAGAATGCTGAATGATTCCAGTTTAGAACAGCTGCATTTTTCTTGAGCTAACTTATGAAAAACGTTTGCAAAAGCAAAAACTCAAGTTATGTTCACTCTAGCCATGGAGACTAACCAAAAAGCTCAAGATGAATCAGTGCAGTGAGTTTTAAAATTAAATTTGTAGGCTCCAGCAAAAATGTCTTTGTATTTTGACCCTCGATCAAAGGAAAGGCTTAACTCACTTTTCCAGGTGAGACTTTGAATAAACCTTGCCCTGAATGCTCTGGATTCATTATATCTCAAGCATTTACAGTGCTGGCAGCACATAATTAATGCTGTCACAATAAAGCAAGTATAAAACATTCTTATGGCCCATCTTCTTTTTTATCTTGCTTTAGAAGAAATTTCCTGTTCCTCAAGCTACTGAATTACAATAGCATTTAACAATGTATGTATTAAAAAAGAAAGGTTCCCAGCCCAAAAAGCTCTCAAGGAGAAACACTTCCTAATTCTTTCTCTTGTTCAAGATAATCATATACAATATTAAGCTGTGAAGAATTCAGCAAGGCTTGATAATACATAAACACCATCTGAAACATTTTCTGAGTGAGTCAATGTCCATTCTTTGAAAATGCTAACTCTAAACATGATCTTAACTATTGCATGCACTCAAAACATGAGTCAGAAAACAAAGGCAGCTAAACTTCCCAAAAGATACGGTCTATGTCTTCTAGTTACTAGAGCCAATAAGCACGGAACTACATATAAGATAGAGATGGTATGGAATTTAAGGATTGTAGAGAAAACAGCAAGAGAAAAAGTAAAGCTGTTTACAACGCCCAGGTCAGGCTGGCTCTTCAGAGAACAGGAGTGAATACAAGGCCTAGAAACAAGCACAATCTGGGGTATGGAGAAAAGATCATTTTATAGAGTAAATGTATATCTCTAAAAAATAGTTAAAGACATTCCCTCAGATACTATACTGACAACATATTCTATAAAAATGCAAAGCACAGTTTATAGCAATCTGTGTGCGGATGATACAGCAGAATAAGTATCCTATTCATAATAAGAGTGAACAGCAGGTAGGAATATTGCATTAAAGAACATATAGGACCCTTACAGGACTGCAGAATTGAGGCCACAAACCATAATCTGAAACTGTATATTTATGAAAGGTTCATTGAAAGAAAGACAGCAGGTGGTGCGTGGGCACAGCTTAAGCAATCATTAGTTATATAACGGTAGCAATATATATCAGAGGTGCTGGGAGATAGATAAGATGCAGACTTTGCAAACAAGGCAGTGAATGGTAGAAAGTACAGTGTAATAGGCGAAGAAAATTTAAATGGCATTCCTGTCTCTAGTAAGAGAGAACTACTCTCTAAATCAAAACAGGAAAAAGTTTCTGACAAATTCCTAAAAACAAAAACAAAAAAACCAACAAGAACAAAAATGAAAGAAAGAAATTTCGAACCAGAAAATAAATGCTTTTTCTATTTTTTTTTTTTTTGCCTGTTTGAGGTACACTCCCTAAATCTATAGCAAGTAATAAAAAGTTTATAGGGAATTTTCCAAAAGAAACCATAAAGCATGATATTATACAGAAGGTAAAAGAGACTTATAACGAGTAAATTCAGTTTTCAAAGAGTAAAAAGAATGCATGCTTCAAACAACAGGTCTCTTAAAAGATACTAGAATTTTTTTCACCTTTTGCTGTATGTATAAAACCTCACTTTTTACTACTAGCAAATTTGCTGCTTTTGGCCAGAAAAGAAATGCTGAGGACAAGGCTCAACTTTCTAATTTGAGAAGATCATTCTGGTGAATCATTTTTAGTGAGTGAAACACCTGTTATTTACCGGTCACCTTGAGTCTTTAAAATTCAATTATTCTTGTTTGCAAAAAGTAACACTTTAAGAGATCACAGAATCTCTGTCTCACACACATACACACACACATACTCAAGTACCAAATCAGGCCCGGCAGCTGCAGAGAGATTACATCATAACTCAGCTGTGCCTGGATTACCCACTTCACACTGGCAGCATTCAAGGTTAGAAAATGAAATGGCAGCACAATTGGTCAGCAGCTTCTCTTCTTCTGGAATTTTTCCAGGTTCTTGAAACAAACAGACAAACAAACAAACAAACGAACATAAAGCTGCAATCACTCTTGCATTGATTTCGAAACAGTAAACTAGGTGGTTTCCTTGGAAAAGCAGAGCCCGTTCAGAAGACGGCAGCTTGGAGGCCTCTAGACAGCGATCCTCAACAGCTCTGCGGGGATTCCTCAGGGGGACCCATCGGCTACCAAGGGTGTTCTCCAGGTGATCAGCTCAAAGCAGCTGCTGAGACCTCAGGCTGTGTTCAGCTCCGAGGTGTTCTGGCTGGGCGGCAGGTGGGAATCCAGGTTCTCTTTGCACCTCTCCAGGTCCTGGAAATACGGGTGAGACAGGGCGCTGTAGGCAGATATTCTTTTGGCTGGATTAAATGTCAAGCACTTCTGTAATAAAGAAAAAAATAGGTTGATATAAAACATGTCAATTTAAATAACATGCTTACATAGTTATCTGTTTACTGCCATGTACTAAATGTATCTATAATGGGAATAAATGTTTATTTCAAAGCGGTGTTAAATAATATGTAGATAGTACTCATCTCATATATCTCTCTAATGTATAAATTGCCCCTCTGGAAAAGGCAATACCTTTAGCGTGCCCGTGGACAGTTGCCTACCCAGGATTTCTCTCCAACCGACCCTATGTCCCTTAAAAGATGTTATTGTTATTGCAGTATGCATATAATTTGATTAAGATAGTGATTCTTCTAGTGCTAGCACACCTAGTGCTGCAGTCGGAGACTTCACCCTACCTTCTTGCCCAGCCCCAATGTTTATCAATGAGCAGGGAAGGGAAGAGGCACCCCTGTTGAGGTGTAAAGGACAATTACTGAACAAGGTGCCCAGTGGAGGGTGTACGTTAGGGCTAAAACCTAGACCCTAATTATCCTGATCCACTAGTACCCTGCCCCAAGGCTGCATCCCCCCACAGGAGGGGATGCCTTCCTCATAATTTACATCAAGGTGCCATAGGGCTAGCAGCATCCCTACCAGGGGTCCAACAGATTGAACTCAAGTCACTAAACTCTACTCCAGGCTGACAACTCAAATGCAGGGATACAAAAGTGAATGAGTTGGTTTCTGAATTTAAGGAGATCCAGTCTGGAGGTTTGGTCAGTAGAAGATGAAAGAAGGGAAAATGAAAGGGCTTGGCTACTGAGGTAGAAGATGAAAGGAGGGAAAGATAAACCTTTGGAGCAGCAGCGATCTCCATTCCCAAACTGTTCATATGTAAATTAGAAGTCTCCGGTCCCATTTCCACTCTAACCCCAGGTAATCTTGTTCCTCTGATCCTCTTCCTTTCCTTCCAACACCCCTGCTGAGCATGGAGCAGGGGGCAAGCATTAATTGACATGAATAGGACATCACCCATTGCCCCAGCTCACAGGAAGGTCACAGGAAGCTATATCAGCTTCTCCGTCCCTGTGATGAAGGTCCACTGAAGAGCTGGGTGTCGGACATGTTTATGAATTTCAGTCCTCTGTGTAATCTAAAGACTACATTATCACGGCTATGCAGACCTCTTCCACTTAATCTGGGTTCCTGCTCACAGTCCTAGTCAGGTCCTGGCTGGATTGGGAACCCCTCTGAAAGCTACTGACCTAGAAAACACATACACATAGAAAATTCTACATAAAATTTCAGAGGAATTCTTGGGTCCCCTGAAATCACAGAGCTAAAGGGCAAGCAGAGGAAAGAGCTTGTTTGTATGATGGTTCCACTGTTCCATTATTCTCTAATAGCAATAAACATCTTTAGAAAAACTTTGCAAGGGCTGAATTCCCAAAGGACAGGAGATCAGGGGCAAAATTCTTGAGCCTGAGCCTCTATTCCCAGAGTCTAAGAAAAAGAAAATTAGGTAGTGGCATTAGAAAAGGAAGCAGCCAGTTTAATTCCCAGGATACAGGAAAGAAGAGAAAAGAGTTGTGGGAATATGTTTAAGATACAGAGAAATGCCTCTAGAGGATTATCTGGAAGTCCTTTCCCTGCAGCTACACGGATAGCTTGAAACTGGGAAGAGGCTGAAGGGAAGAAGAGGGTATGTGAGAATCTCAAGTTGGAAATCTTAATATATTTTGTCCTACAGAAATATTGTGAGCAAAGGTGATTAAGTTCTATTATTGCTCTACTTCACAAACAAGGTGGCTGGCTTGAGAATTAATTTAAAAACCTTGTGTAATATTCTTGTTTCTGCAAGAAAACTTAATTATTATTATTTTTTTTCCTTTTTGTCTTTTTTTGTGACCGGCAACGGATCGCAACCCTCAGTGTCGCGCCCGTACCAGACCGGGACCGGCAATGGGATCGCAACCCTTGGTGTTGCGCCCGCACCTCGCTCAGCCAGTGAGCGGCAGGTCTGTATGTGGGATCCGAACCCTCGGCGGGAGGGACGCCGCGCTCCCAAGCGGCGCACTGTAGCAGTGCGCCACCGGGCCGGCCCAAGAAAACTTAATTTTTTTGCCAATGATCGACTTATAAAATGAGCTTTTAGAATCACAACTTAGTCAATAATTGAATAATATGGTAGATTACATTTTTTTTTTTAGTACATTTTCTCTTTCTTCTCTCTTCTCCCTCCATGGGAGGAGCATTCTTTCCTCCATTAAAGTTGGCTTTGGCCATGTAACTTGTTTTGGCCAATGGAATGTAGGCACAGTGGCAGGGTGTGTCTTCCAGGCCTAGGCCTTCAGGGACATTGTATGTTTCTGCTTGTCCTTCTGGGAGCATCTACCGTCTACCACGAGAAAAACATGCCACAGGGAGTTGTTGCCTCTCTGACCTGGGCCCAGAATGAGACACATGGGGAAGACCTGTACTTGACCCAAGCAGATATCAAAGGCCGTTAATTCAGGAGACAATGGATACACTCATTACTCACTGGGTTACAGACATTAAGAGCAGCCTGGTAGGTACATACCTCTATCTATTATTCTGGCTTCCAAACACAGAAAAATATGTACAAGGTTAAGTATTACGAGTTTGTGTCTCAAATATAAGAAGTCCTTACTTCCAGTGAGACATTTTACATGTGCATGGCACATTAAATACTTATTAAATAAATCAGTAACTAGAAGGAATATTGCTGTTTAGTTGATCTGGAAAAATATCTTCCTAAAGATGTGACTATTTATGAAAAGGCATGTTAAAATGACAAAGAAGTTGCTTAAAGTAGCATAAAACTATAAAACAAAGAAACATAATATTTGTTTTTAAAGAAGATAATGTCCAAATGAATCAAGAGTCTCTTAAGGCTGCATTCAAATAAACATTCAAAGATGGTGGATTTAAAGAGTGTGGATCAGAAAAACATTCCAGAATCAAAAGCCACCAGCTCCTACAGGTGTGGAAACGAAACCTAGGGAAAGACTGTAGTCTCCTCCCTTGTGTGGCTATGGCATGTGATGACTGTGGCAGTTGCTAAGCTGATATTTGTGTCCACTGCCCAGTCTGAATAAGGCAGGTCTTGCATTAGCTCAGTGCAAACCAACTATGCATCGTGTGAACTTACCAGAAGTAGGTCTTTGCCTAGTTCATCAATATCTGTTACAAACTTCTCAATTGGTTGGGCAGATTTTGAATGAAAAGCCTGCCTGGGAAGGGCAACATCTCTAGGCCAGTCCTCTTCTCCTGGGAGTCCAATTACGCTATAAAAGAACCACATGTGAACATGCGCATTAGCTGCTATGCCAAAGCTGTTTTCTCACCGAATTCTAGAGAAAGGCAAAATCTAAGGGCCAGGCACAGGGCCCCAGGGCCCAGGAGACCTTCACATTATGACTGGCAGAGTCTCTCATTTATCTATGTCCTACTGCAATATGGTCATAGGGTAGAGGGTAATCTCAGAGAATTGTGAAATTTGCTGGGAGGAGCTAAGAGATTACTTTAGCGCAGATACTAAAAGTAAATGTAGAAATGGAAAATATACTACACCATGGGGTAAGCTCTGATACACTGACAAAGCAGGATCTATTCTGTTCAAAGGAAACCCACATGGGCATATAATATCTTCCTTTAGTCCAAGAGTGCTTTTTGTGTTCAGATTGAACACCTCAGTACTGACATGCTTTTATGATGCTCATCCAACGTGGTTTATTAACACATCAGTTTGGTGACATTTTTGGTTAAAAATAATTCCTCAAACAATAATTACATAAATTAGACAGAAAAATTAGCTTAATGGTATGTTGGTCCTGTCTTATGCAAACACTATTTTATAAAGGAATGGTATTATAAAGTGAGCAAACAACAAATTACAAGAATATCAATGAAAACCATTCTGGGATAAGAAATGTGGAGAGAACAGCAAGCGATAAAAAGAGCAACAGGCTTTGGACACATGTAGACTTACTTGGGTTCAAATCCTGCACCTGCCACTTATTGGTAGGTAAGGGCAAATTATTTAACATCTATGACCCTCAGTGTCTTTATGTGTACAACAATAATTGATGGTTGTAACGAGGATCAGTGATAATTTACATAAAATGCACAGCACAGTGCCTGATACACAGTACTCAAGTTCATATCAATACACTACTCATTATTATTACCATAATTAGAAAATAATGTTGCTATCAATCCAAAATGCATAGGAAATACATCACTACCACACTACAAATACGAATGACTTGAATCCTATTTATGTGTAAAACTTAAGGTTCTTCAGAAATATTAATAGGTCAGTAGCCCTATACAATTTATATATTATACAGATATTATTTATAGTTTATGTACAGGTGGTAAGCAGCTTTGAACAAGGGAAATCAGAGGATGTAAGAAGTTATATCTTATACAGACTATAGATAACTCTGAGCTAAAAAATACTAGTTTAGTGGACAGGATATACAGCTATTTGAATACTGGACCAAAGTATTTTTTTTTTTTTTTTGTCTTTTGTCTTTTTCCATGTCCGGCAACGGATCGCAACCCTCAGTGTTGCCCCCGCACCGGACCGAGGACCGGCAACGGGATTGCAACCCTCGGTGTTGCTCCCGCGCCTCGCTCAGCCAGTGAGCGGGAACCGGTCTAGGACCAAAGTATTTTAATTACAATTAGAAATGGTGCTGGCCTGCATTATGGTCTTCTCCTTGGCCTGCATTAGCTGGGTCTAAGGCCCAGGAAGGGGTGTTCTCATGAATGTATTTCCAGGTTTTGAGAAGACATGGTGGTAAATGTCACGGGATCTGTAGGGCTTTGTTCCCCTTTCCCTTACCTTAGCAGAGCCCAGGTCACAGACCTCACTTGGGAAGAGCAGATACCCCTGTCATCGCTGCACCTGTTACTGGATGTCTGGGGTGACACTATAATTCTGCCTGTTGGGCATCCTGAGAGAGCCACATTACTGAGGCAAAGATAGACTCAGGGACACATTTATTGGAATCAATGAATAGAAATGACAACTTGAGCAATATGCAAATTTGTTTAATAGCAAGGTATACAACAGGAGTAAAAAGAAGAAAACAAAAATACCCATTAATTATAAAAGCAAATGCATGTATATGCATTTGGACAAAATGCAACAAGGCAGAGGAAGAAAATTTTTATTAAAGACCTTTTAAAATTTTTCTTCATTCCTTTCAAGCTTTTAGCTCTTTTTATATAAATATTTTTGCATATTACCACTAGTCACCTAGAAACTGATTATAACAACAGCTAGAAATAATTTAAAATCTTTTTTTTTTTTCCTTTTTGTCTTTTTTCATGTCCGGCAACGGATCGCAACCCTCAGTGTCACACCTGTACCGGACCGGGACCGGCAACGGGATCGCAGCCCTCAGTGTTGCACCCGCACCTCGCTCAGCCAGTGAGCGGGAACCGGTCTGTATGTGGGATCCGAATCCTTGGCGGGAGCGCCACCGCGCTCCCAAGTGGCGCACTGCAGCAGTGCGCCACCGGGCTGGCCTAAAATCTTTATTTATAGCTTTGAATATATCTACATTGAGTTAAATCTCGCAAATATGGATATCTGAATGCCAAACGCCTTCAGAGAAATGGCATGTCTCTGTGTGTATGAGTATGTGTGGTATATAATTACATATATATATATAAACCCACAACTGTTTGTATATACACGTATATTTGTATATATGTATAAATATTTGTGTATGGATATATATATATATATTTAAGTCTATTACCTCCTCTAAGTCCTGCAAAGACCTCCTGAGACATGTAGGTCAGGTGTATTACCCCTATTTTATAGATGGGGAAACTAAGATTGAGGAATGAAATGAACAGCCAAAGTCACACACAGTGAGTTCAGTCACAGAGTCCTGAGTGAACCCAGTTCTCCTTACTCCAAATCCAATATTTTATTTCCACTTAACTGTGATGCTGCTCTTATAAACACTTTAAAATGTCATGGGCTAAAAGCACTGTTTCACTTTCAAAGTACTTGCTGTTCTTTGAAAGCATAAATCTTCCTAAACCCAGAAATGTTTTTCTCTTTAAGATTATGTGAACATGGCTTTCCTTTAAAAAGAAAATGCAGTTTCATGTTCAGTATGAACTTTTATGGCCCATGTATAAGCATTGTGAAATTCTGATAGGTCTATTAAAAGTACTTGCATTGAATTTCACTATTTGGACAGCTGAACATAAGCCTTAAAAGTTGACATTTATACTGGAAAGACTGACAGGGCACAAAATCTATAAATGGCAGTGATGGTGGAAACAGAAAGAATTTATCAAGTACTTTAGCAATGACACTAGGGTGCAGCATTGTCTCTTTTCTCTAGCAAGGTAATACTTTTGGAGGAAACAGGACATCATTTTGGTGAAACAATGCCAGAAACCACAAAGTAAAATCTAAAGGCACAAAACGTAGAACTTCACAGCTTTTTTGCTTGCAATCTAGGATTGTCAGGCTTTTGCCAAAAGTGGAATTGGCTTTTTCTTGGAAGCAAGTCAAACATGCTGGTCAAACGTTCCTTCTGGTCCATTTCACTGGCTTCCTGTACTAGGCGGGTAACTAGCAATGTTAAAAGGATTGCAGATATCAGTGCTGGAGGTGGACAGAATTCCTAGGTGGTATAAATAAGGGAAAGCAGGTGATAGCTTTTAGTGCCTGGCACACTGATTTCAGTAAAGATTGTCTTTTAACAGAGGGTCACTGATATGTCTTATTTTCACAGTTCCCTCTTCAAGATCACACGAACACAAAATAGATTCAGTGGTCATAGGGAGTTCATCATTGAATGACCAAAGAACGTTACATCCAAAAGCAGGAGTCACAGGAAAGCTTTGTGTTGAATTCAGCCGTCTTACAGGATGGTCAGTAGCAGCCGCAGTAGTGTCAGCTGCTCTGGACCCAGGAGGTCCCCAGACCAAAAAAAAAAAAAAAAAAAAAAAAAAGCAAATTTTTTTCAGGCCTTCAAGCCACTGGGTTGGGACTCAGCAGGAGCACCGGCACTAAAA